AGCGCGAGCTATTCCGCAGGGGTTCGGGGTTTAGGGTTTAGGAATAGGGTTGAGGGTTTTAGGGTCTAGGACTAGAGGGTTACGGGCTTCCCTAAACCCTACAGTCTACATCCTAAAATGCTGGGACTTGTCTAGCAGATTTGGGGTGCTTGCAGTTCGAGGGCGTGCTAGTGCTCTTTGAGCCGAGCTCATGCTCAGATGCGGCCGGGGGACTGCGGGTTGAGGGTTTCAGGGTTTAGGACTTGAGGGCTTGAGGATTGTACATAGGGTTTGAAGGTTTCCGGTAGAGGGCTTGAGGGTTTTGGGGTTGAAGGTTTAGGGTTTCAGGGTTTGAGGGTTTGCGGATGTAGGGGGTTTGCCGGGCTGATGCAAAGCTTTCAATGCTGCGCCATGTTGATGTCTGTAGGCTACTGCTGTCCACCCTACGCCATTTCAACCATATCAGACTTACTGTGTCCCACAAATACTGCAGCGACAGTCTAGCCGACTCCCCACAAAAAAAGAACAAGTGGAGCATGGCAGGTGGCCCTGTCGGCCTCAACGCGTCACACATCAGAAACCTCTTGGCATAAGCCTTATGTACCAGCGCAACTGAAAGTGAAGCTCTTCAGCCTGCCGTTGGGCGATTGCTGAAGGCCATGTAAGGCCTTCAGGACCAGCCAAGGGACCGTTAGCCTGCAACAGTCCCATCTCTATCAACACCGCCGCCGGTCGTTCTCCTCCCGGGCGAAGAAAAGCAGTGGGGATGTCAGCGCACAGCGCCATCCCGTCCCACACAGAGCAGCGTAAGAAACCGCGATGTGCTACATGATACTCTAATAAAACTTGGAGGGGATTGGGGCTCAGGCTTTTGAAAGGTTTCCGTTATAGAACAAGACTATGGAAAATGTTGGAGGAAAACCTAGACATGCTGCGTTGCTACCAAGATGCTAGGGACTGGGGTCAACATGCTGCTGCTCATCAACTTTACTGCGTACGGAGCAGCCCATGAATCAAGCAGATTAGATATTGGATATTGAAGCCTGAACAAGTGGTTGAGCTAGGGCTTCGGGATTCGACATTCAGTGACAGTTATCATCATAAAGGGGCCACAAGGACGAAGATTGCGAACTATCAGACCCAAACGCCGTGCAATATCTCCTCAAACGCTGAAAGCCTTCGCTACTACCAGAAACCTTTATGCATGTCGTTTGAAACAGTCAACCGACGCTTGCACCAGAACCCTTCAAGCAAAGCCCGCCCCGGAGCCTTGCTAAACAAAAAAAGCGTGAAGACGCACCCATTCAAAGCAAAAGACCCTAGACCAATCCTTAAATCCTACACTAAGCTAAACTCAACACAGAAAAGCAGCGAACAGAAAACATGAACCCTAGACCCTAACCCTGAACAGTGAACCCTAAATAACATAGTATAGGGGACTTAAGAATTCGAATAGGGTTTTGGGGCCCTTTATGCTATAACAATAATAAGGAGCCCCCCAAAATAGCATAGGTGATTATTTAGGCCCCTATATATATATATATATATATATATATATATATATATATATTAATATTAATATTAACGGGATATCAAGTCTGAGCTCCCCGGCTGGGAGGCTGCCAATGTCGCCGACAAGAGGCATAAAAGGACTGAATGCATGGCCGCAGGCATCGTGATCCCTGAGCACCGGGGGTTTGAGGCATTTAAGGTTTGGGGTTCAAGGGTTGTGACGTTTTGGGGTCAGTAAGACTTTAGGGCATGCTGGGTTTCGGGTTTTGGGCTTTCGCGGGTCTTGTGGTTACCTATATGCAATGGGTTACTAGACCATGGAAAGAGGTATTTGGACTTCCAAAGAACATGTCGCTCTTGGAGTTGAGCGATTAGATAGGTTTTGCGGCCTCAAGGGTGTTCACGCCTTACTGGCCTGTCTCGGGATTACTGGACACACCTCGGCCTCTTTCAAAACGGGGGCTTATAAGCTCATAAGCCATGTCCTGAAACAGAGCTCCAGGACCCAAACAACACCTAAAAGCCTGAGACTCTATGCACGCAAGCCTGCCTGAACCTTAGGCCCTACCCATCGGCCCCGTAGTAGTTCCTTTTCGGGCTCATATGCAGAATCCTATAAGGTAATCCCAAAAAGGAACTACTATGGGGCCCATGCGTACAGCCCTTAACCCGCTAAAACTGACCGAGGCTTCCACCAGTCCTTCCCAGGAGGCTTCGGTATGGCAGTAAGTCTGCAACTGCGCCCGCAACACTGCTTTGAGCCGAGATCGCGATCATCAGTCGCAGTTGTTGCTTTAGGGTCCAAAAGTTCAGGGCACCAGGGGCTTCGGGTTTGGTTTGGCAGCGTGCAAGATTTGATGATTGAGGCTCTGCTTTTAAAGCTGAGGTCATAAGCCCTTGACATCCTCAATCTTGAATATAGAGGCCTTAACAAAAATAATTAGAATAAGGTCTTGGGGCCCACTATTAATGCTATAATTATAATTAGTAAGGAAGCCCCCCAAAAAGTATAGGTATTTTAAGGCCCTACACTAAACACTACAAGCCCCGTCAATCCCCTCTTCGTCGAGAACACACGACACTAAGCGCCAATTACACCCGCAACCCCGCTTTACCTCTGAGCTCCTACCTCCGACATCACAGGGTTTAGGGTTTAGGGGTGTAGGAGTTTAGGGTTTAGGCTATATCCACACAGCAAACATCGAAGCCGGAATGCTAAGCAGCCAAACTCTCGACCCAGGTCTCGAATTGCATGTTGCGGGGTTTAGGGTTTAACCAATTAGATGTTGAGAGCGTCGAGGTTGGATTGACCAAGCAGAAAAGAACAGGCACGTTTGCGTGAAGATCCTCCTAAACCCTAAACCCTAAATCTTTGTAGAATCCCTAAGTCTGGGCCGAAGCTACACAAGAAAAAGTATTACCCATAGGCCCCATAGTAGTTCCTTTCCGGGTTCATATGTAGAATCCTATAAGGTAATCCCGAAAAGGAACTACTATGGGGTTTATGGGTAGAGTTTACCGTCGACAGAATAGGCTTCAGGGTTGTAGGATGTGAGAGTGAGGATGTGGATGCGGAGCCTTAATTACAATAGGGATTTGGGGTATCGTGTATATTAACTTTCTGCTGACAATATAACGGTTTTAATACAACAAACCCTATGGAATAATATTGGTCTCTCTCTCTCTCTCTCTCTCTCTCTCTCTCTCTCTCTCTGCCTCTCTCTCTATATATATATATACATATATATGTACAGATATAGGTTATATATATATAATATAGATACCTGTACCTATATATCTCTACGTCTACATATATATATATATATATATATTTGCACACTAGGGGGACTCTGGGTCTGCGGTTTGAGGATTTGGAGCCAGGGTTTCGCAGCAAGATCCGCTGCTCTTCTTGGCTCTTGAGGGCTGGGGCTTCTGGGACTTATATTCAAAGGGAAAAGGAGGGACCCTTGATGGGGACCCCTACCCTATAACGGGCTATATAATGGGTATATAATAACTATATTAAGGGTATATATCTAGCGGTATTAAGGGTCGCTCGTGTTACCCTTGGATATATGTAAGGCTTTAGGGCTTATACGCGGCTTATCGGGTTTATGGGGCTTATGCAGCTTGTTGGGTTCATGGTGCTTTTTGGGTTCATGAGGCGTTTTGGGTTTATGGGGCTTATAGGGTATTATGGGGCTTATAGGGTTTATGGGGCTTATAAGGTTATGGGGCTTTTAGGGTTTACGGGGCTTAGGGCTCATAGGGTTTAAAGGGCGTATAGGGTTTAAAGGGCTGATGAGTTTTGTAGGCTTTATAGGGACCCAAACACTTACCCGCACTTTTTTTTGGGGTGTCCTTATTTTATTTATAGCATGGTGGGCCCCAGAACCCTATTCGGATTATTCAGGCCCCTATCTTACTTGACGGCCAGGGTTTATGGGGCTTAGAAGGTTCATAGGGTCTGAAGGGCTTATGGGGCTTTTGAGAAATATGGGGTCTTATAGGCCTTCTAAGGTTTATGTGGCTTATAGGGTTTGTGGGGCTTATGGGGTTTATAGGGCTCATAAGGCTTGTAGGGCTTATTGGGGTTTATGTGGTTGTGCCGCTGTTTGAGAGCCAGGCGCCAGGAATCAGGAATATCCCCTATATCCCCTACGTCGTGCCATAAACAAGCAGTCAGGCATCCGGCTCGTGAAGGGTTTCGCGACCCGGGTTTTAGCAAGTGATCTGGTTCCCGCCCTGCCCCTCGAAACCACCAGTGTTTTGCAACTCTGCGCCTTCATGCGAGACAGAGATCGAAACAAATGGATGAAATTTTTACGAGCAAGTCGATAGAGCAATCCTAGTACGATATGACGTATGCCGTAGCAAGCAGCGAGGAATGTGCGTCTTCCGTTCCTGTAGCTTACCCAGATTTAAGATGCTCCTGCCGTATTGCGGTATGACATACGTTCTTCCCATCAACTCTCTCTGCCAGCAGAGAAGCACCTGGCATGTCAAAAATAGGCACATGCCACGGGTGATGCGAATTCTGTGCATGCCCTCGGATAGTCTGAAACCCAAACCCTAAAACTTAAACCCCAACCACCGGCAGTGTAGAAACAAAACAAATTGACAGACTCAGACCCCCGCAAATCGAAAGCCACCTCGCACTTACTACATGCCGTCATGTGCCCAAACTTTCAACACAATTTGCAGCCCTAGCATTCGCGCCGTTCTCTGCCAAAGCCTCAATCCTAAATTTCCTAAATCACCAACCACAAGGCTCCATACTTCCTCGACCTTGGTTCCCTACAGACCCTACGTACGACCAAGGTCAGTTCCACCCCATGACTACGGGAGACCGCTTATGCAAAACAACGAAAATGCAAGACCGGTATTCTAAAGTAACTTTATGTTCAATAAGCCCTCACCAAACAGGACCCAAGCTTTTCAAGAATCGCACTGGTAAGAACAAACAACTAACAGCTTACGATCCGTAAGGCACAGCAAGCTGCCACTAATCACGCTCGCGCTGTCCAGCGGCGGCCGTCCCTGGCGTTGGCATTGTGTTTGCTTTAAGGCGGTTTAGCGTTTGGGAATTAAGGTTCAGGGTTCAGGTTTTCGGGTTTAGTCTTCAAAAAGTAGGTTTGCAAGAAGAAGAAGAAGTAGTAGTGGTAGTAGCACACCCAGGAGGAATGCTGAGAGTGGGACGCCGTCTCACCAGCACCCCAGGAAGCATCTCCCCTTGGGGTGAAAGCTCAGCAGCGTCGGATTCAAAAGTTGCAATACCTAGACCCCCCAAAAGTAGGTAAAATAATGGCCCAAAACCTATTAAAAGCTATTATTCTACATACTTTTGGGGTCCAGGTAGGTCTACGGCTACGGAGCTCTACGTGGCATGACATTCGCGACTTGGGGGTTTCCGAAAATAGGGGACCCTAAAAGGAGTACCCTAAAAAGTAGGATCCCATATGATAAGAGCCCCAAAATACGGTACCCCGATTTTCGGAAACTCCCACGTTGAGGCCAAGAAAAAGTGGAAGGTAGAGGCGGTAGAAATCTTCAGATCTTCATCCGGGGGTCGGCAGTGGGTTGAGCAGGCAAGGCCCAGTCATCCGGGGCAGTAGAATGAGATGGCAGCTTGAGGGTTAGGTTTTTAGGGTTTTATTAGTGATTCTAGAGATTAGGGGTTGGGGATTTAGGGTTAGGGTGTTAGGGATTTTAGGGATTAGGGGTTTAGGGTTTGAGGTCAGGGCGTAAGGCACTGAGGCCCAATTATGACATACCTTAGAAGGCCCGGTTGGGTAAATTTGAGCAATACGATTGTAGTGAAACCCGGACCGCTGTGCCCTTCGGCTTGCGGCTTGCCAGTTTTCACAGGCTAATAAGGTGTTGTTGCTTTTCGTGTCGAGCGAAGGCCACTTCTAGAGAGTCCATGTAGCCGTTCTGGAGTTATGGGCTCCTAAAGACCATCCGTATGTGGACACGTTGGCCTGGCCTTCATTGCGGGTAGTCACGTAGACTTTCAGGACAATTGGGTTGGAATTGGGTTGGAGGTGAATGATTCTCAGGTCCAAGACTGCTACACACGCACGGCAGAAGACCAGGACGCTTGGGCTGCAGCCAGGCACCCGGGGACGTGTGGCCACTCACCTTCTGGGTAAAGGACGTTTAGGGCTTTCGGCGGGAGGCTGAAAATGTAGGTGTCCGCGGTTTGCGGCTTGTGGGACCGGATTAGGTGCCTGATGCTTACGAAGACCCAAAACCCTGAAACCTGAAGGCTAAACCTGAAGCAGGAGACACGATGACACCGACAAAGCCATGCTAACATCCAGACGACTCCTCTGCTCTTGTCGGAAACTACGCCTTTTGGAGAGACCGTGAGCGTTGGAAAGCAAAAACACAGACAGACACACTCACACACAAAGAGACACGCGCAAACGCACAGACACATATATAAATGTAATTATGTATGTATATCTGTATGCATGCATATACGCCGACACCCCAAAACCCTCGACCCTAATCTGCAACTCTGAGAATTCTGTGGACATCCCCCCACCCCAAAAAAAAACACACTCACTCGTCAGTTCGCATCGGTTCAATTTTAGGCCTTGGGAGGCCTTGCGCCGCACTTCTGAACTGTGCTTCCATGCACACGAACGCCTGGTAACTAGGCTGATTTCGCCAAACCGGGAAGTGATTTCTCGTTTCTGCTTGTTCCTTACACGCTGTAGGAATATACACTTACAACAAATATGTAGTACACATAATACCCATAACCCGATAAACTACCAATAGATTACTTGCCCAGCATACTCTCACCTCCGACGGTACCCTAGGCAAAAAGCACGCTACGAATCGAGGCGGTTTTTGGAAAAGAGGACTGAATTAGGGATTTACGGTTTCGGGCTTAGGGGCCACATATCCCTCAAAAGCCTGAACCCTTGGCATGCCGCTGGCCTGATCTGCGCCGTCCTTCCGCAGTCGTCTAAGGCTTCGATGGCCAAACAACATCCCCTCCCCCGAGACCTCGACGTACACAAACCCTAACCCTTCAACCCTGAAGCCCTGAAACCCCCCAGCCCTATAAACCCCAAACCCTAAGCCCTAAAGCCCTGAAACCCCCAGGCCCTAAACCCCAAACACTAAACCTTAAGCCCTAAAGCCCTGAAACCCCCAAGCCCTAAGCCCCAAACCCTAAACCCTAAGCCCTAAAGCCCTGAAATCCCCAAGCCCTAAACCCCAAACCCTAAACCCGAAAGCCCTGAAATCCCCGAGCCATAAACCCCTCCACCCTTAACCAGTAAACCGTCTCTGACTCGAGGTGCTACGGCTACAGTAGCCCGAGACTTCGCTCAAGTCTACTTAGAAATACGGACTAGGGTTTTAAGTGGCTACGGGTTGAAGCTTTGTGTAATTTGGAATTTATGGCTTTAGGAGAAAAAGTTCAGGGTTTGGGGCTTTTACAATAAGTTTCACGGCTATTAGGGATTATGGTGCTTTTCGGGTTTGAGATTCGCTTGAGGTTCAGGGCTTATAACATTATGCTCTGGTGCTCAGGGTTTCGGATTTCGTAAGCTGGGCATCGAACTTAGCCAGAGCTTCATCTCGCGCAGGCCCACCCGGTAGCAAGTGGCACCGCATCCACAGCGCGGCAGCAAGTTGGGTGTGCAATGTGGGAGGAGATTGCGCCTTGCAAGTTGTTGCCACGACGTCAAAGCCATGCTGGGGGGATTGTCTTGTCCAAACAGCATCGCGCACTAAAACTTACTGCATTAGAGCCCCTGCCCGCCTGAACTCACAAGTGAAATCAATCAGACCACAGTCCTGCGCACTGGGTAGGCCCACCTTGACACAACTGTCACGCAGCACGATTTCCCGGCCCAGCGACTCATTGAGCCCCACCATGCCCTTGGCCACCACATCCATGTCTTCGCCGACTGGTAGCAAGCACCGATGCTGCATGAGCGAATAAAACCCACTGCGAGGGTTCAGGTTCAGCTCACACATCAGTGCAGGTCCGACTTCACCCCAACAACCGTCGGTGGTTTTTTCGACATCTTTGTTTATGATATCTGGCACCATGCGGACCTTCACGTCAGGTGGAAGTGAAAGCGGCGTGGAAGGGGTGAATAGCAGCGGCACTCTTGCATATATGTCGTGCAAGAAGCCGCCTGACTTCAAAATTCGCCCAAACGTGGTCTGAGAAGAAATTCCTAAAATTCCTATCAGGATATCGATTAGCAGGTAATACAAGTGGCCATCCTTCCCGCCGACTGCAAGCAACTCCGGTGGAAATTCAGAGCAGTCCCTAGCCCACCTCGCTAATTGTGGTGGCTTGCAAGAGAGCGAACCGAAGTCGAAGGAGAAGAACGGGCATTGGGACTCCTGAGTGGACTCCCGGCTCATACGGCAGTCACGGTCCTCGCGCAAGACGGGCCTGCAGGAGAGCATCCGGATGGAGCGGGCCTTCAGTGCGCTTCTTCTTTGCAGACTTAGTCTCCCCTCCCGCAAGTAGATGTACACGCCCGATGTTCGAAGGGCCTCCGCCCTTTCGGCTGGAGAGGATTCCCAGAATGCTTCGAACACCTTAATTAGATTAAAAGAAAGGGCCGCTGACTCACAGCCAACACATAGACAGTTTGGCATGTAAACAATGTAAAGCATGTACGCTCGACAGAGCACCTTTCCAGCTCCATCAGCCGTCTGATCGCCCCGGCGCTGCACCAGCCGTGTTAAATTGATGCTGCTCATGAGCTCAAAGTGGTCAGGGCATTGTTGAAAATCGTCCGCAACCTCCTGACACAGGCGCCGTTGACGTGAGCTTGAACAGACGGTCACAACAACGGTGCAAGATGTGCATGCTGCAAGAGAATGCCACACTGCATGACCGGTCCTTTTCGGCCTCGACTCCACAGCACAACACTCGCAAGAAGGCTTCGTCGACATGGATGGTTCGAGCCATCAGGACCTGGAACGATCGGATTCTACGAACCTGACTTGAACATCTCTGCCGCACAGATATACCCAGTCTGAGCCCAGAATATCTTTATTTACGCAGGTTTGGGGATTTACGCCCTAAACCCTGTGTGCTCAACCTGGATGCATGATGAGTAGGGCGGGCTGTGCCAACAAGAGCTATTGCTTTCCCCAGAAAAACCTCGTTTAGGGTCCACCAAAACCCCAAAACCCTAAACCCCTAAACCCTAAACCGTACAACACAAACGTCCCAGGCAGGAGCTCCCCTTCTTTCTCAGCTCTTCGCTGCATTTGGGGGGTCTCAAGAGCGCCGGACCCAGAGACTCCAATACCCCTTAATTAGGGAATATTCCTTAAATCATACTAGGGATCCTATATAATTTAAGGCATATTCTTTAATTAAGGGATATTGGAGCCTCTGGGGAACTGTTCAGGGGGCGCATGCAGCGACCCAGCATGGGGCTGCAAGTGGATCAACGACTAGACCCAAGAGCAACCTACGAATAAAACGGGTGCCCTTTTTGATTTAAAGGGGCTCATAAGGGAACCTGAAACCTAAACAAAGGGAATATAAGGGCCTACTCTAGGTCCTAGAAGAAACCTAAATCGTAAACTCTCAATGTAGGAACCTGATTAAGAAACCCTGGCTCCTTAATGGGGTTCCTCATATGAACCCTACTATTTGGTGTTTACAGGGCCAGGGTTTCTTAATCAGGTTCCTACATTAGAGAACTTGAGCTGCAGGTCAGATCTGGGGCCGGAAATCCCAACCCCCAACAGGTCAAAGCCACTAGACCCCTGCGAAGAACCTACATTTTTTAGGTTTTAAAGAAATCATAAGAAGGAACCCTAATAAGGTAGGTTATTCAGGGTTAAGGTGGGCCCTGCACCATGCAATTGAAGCTCTAAACTTGTAAACCTAAGCCCCTAAACCAGAATCACAACTGAAAGAGCGGCTCACGAGACCGTTGTGACGAGGCTTGGTTGAAGCCTCCAGGGGTGTATTTTGTGGTATACTGAGAGGAAAAGCTCCAAGATTAATGTTTCAGCTCTACAGCTAGGATCCAGGCTTAAAGGTCAAACTTGCACTTGCATAGGTTTCGGGGCTTACGGCTTTGATGCTTAGTGTGAAGTATTGGCTCGTGGGGTTAACGGCAGTTGCATGCCGTCTCTTTTGGCTTGGCTCGTCTGCACATTCTAGCTCACCACTTGCAGCAGATTTAAAAATCATTGAGAAAGAGCAGCAGGGTCTGAGCTGGTTTCCCATGATGGCAAACCAAGTCTTTCCAGGAAAAACTTGCTTCGCAACGTTCCACACCTCTAGAACCACTGTGAGCTTCGTTCGCGAATGAGGACATGACCTCACTGTCTGTCAGAGCTTGCATTAAACCCCAAACCCTGAACCCTAAGCCCTAAAACCTGAACTCTGTGAACTTTAAATCCTAAATCCTAAACGCCAATTCATGTATGAGATGGTTATTCATGACATGCCCGGAACTATTACTAAACTACTGCTACAGCTGCTACTGCTACTGCTACTGCTACTGCTACTGCTACTGCTACTGCTACTGCTACTGCTACTGCTGCTACTAGTACTGCTAGTACTACTAGTACTACGAGTACTACTAGTACTACTAGTACTACTAGTACTACTACTACTACTACTACTACTACTACTACTACTACTACTACTACTACTACTACTACTGCTACTACTGCTACTACTGCTACTACTGCTACTACTGCTACTACTGCTACTACTACTACTCCACTCTTTCTACTAAGATTGAAGGGCTGATCATGGCTCGTGGTGTGGAAAGAGTTGTGCGTGCCTTGGGAATCGAACTTGCGGATCAGTCCCTAGAAGCCCAGTTACGTTTCTAGCGGGTTACTGTTCTTTAGACACACACACACACACTCTCTCTATCGTGCCCATGCATAACCTGTACCCGGCTACATGGGCTACTGGGCTCCGAGGGAACAAGGCTGTTTGCTCACTCCCACTCTCGCTGATTCTGGACAAAGCGCCTTGCATTCCAAGCGGCTTGGTTTAGTGCTGATGCCCAAAACCCTAAACCCTAACCCCTAAACCCTAACCCGAAGGCTGAGACCAAGTTAGGAACGACCATGTCACAAACCCCGGCGCATAGGCAGTACGCGAACTTTCTCAAGTGCTTAAAGGAGCCCGAACCTGCATGCTACTATTATGGAATTAGCTCCTTTGCAAATGGATCGGCACTTCCATAAACCGTGATCTTGTGTTGACATACATCTGAGTCTATGAGGCTTAAGGCTCGGAGTTCAAGGTTCAGTTTCACATGCGTAGGTTTTCCGTCGTAGACCTAGGCTCGTGGTTGGGGTTTTGCATCGAGTCTTGTCGTTGGGAAGATGGGCATTGGGAACTAATGTAGGTGTCTCAATAATTAGAATAGGGTTTTGGTGGTTGCTTGTTATATGGTTATAGTATACTATACCCCCAAACCCCATTCTAATTATTAAGGCCCCATGCATTAGGGTTTGATTCTTCTGCTTGGGGCGTACTGGGTAGATGCTTCGGGCTTGGGCTGCAGCTGCAGGGTCAAGGATCCAATCCTGCATATCTATAGCTATATCAGTACCCAGCCATCGCATGCTATAGCTATAGCTACACATATGTTGATGTATTCATGTATAACAGCTCTATCTAGGGGTGTATATATATATATGCACACACACATGGTTGTTTTGCAATGCAGCCTTTCGTTCAGGTTTCCTTCACTTATGTAAACTCTCTAGAACCTCGATACACGACTCTTGAGAAGCATTACATTCCAGACCGAAGTTGGAGGAGAAGTGAATGGGTCTTATGACATGTGGCGGCCTCAATGACGTGAATGTTGGCCGGGATATGTTCTACCATCACTCTTTCTTCTACAATGACTATGACAGTATTCGTAAGCGTTCCGATCCCCACATTAACCCGAAAGTGTAACCAGCTTAAATGACAAGCTGACTTA